GATGCCGAATCACGGCTGGGCGCGAGATTGTCAATCATGTACTTAATCATGTTGCGACGGGAGGAGGAATGGGAGCGAGAAAGCTGAGACCGACTCACTCTGGCGATTTGTCGCATGTGCCCTGCCATGGTCCCTTCCTTGATAGGTTTGTAGTGGCTATATTTGAAGGTGCTCTTGGACATTCGGCGCCATATCATCTTCATACCTAGGAATTTCTCCCCCCAAGCCCGTTGATAATGGACATCGTCTCGTGGAGTTTCGGAAACGAGGGATACCCTCAGGACCAGCCCGTATGTGTGACAAGAACGAGCCACAACGAATTGAACAGGACTGATCCGTGCAGCTATATATTGATTCGACCGACATATCTCGTTCTCTCTCAACCACAGATGTTCGGACGCAGGTTCGACAGCTTGTTGGCGGGCTCCAGAGCCATGGCCTTAAAAAGGGCGACTGTGTCTGCGTCGTGAGCTTCAACGACGTATGTTTTGCAACTTCAATTTCTTCACTTTTCGTCTCGCTCATGAGTTGCAGATCCACTACACAAGTCTCTTTCTCGGGGTCATCGGCTCGGGAGGCTGCTTCACTGGCGCAAATCCGGGTTACACGGCTCATGAGCTCACCCACCACCTTCGAATAACTCAAGCCAAATTCCTCCTTACCTCCCCTAAGACACTGGATATTGCTCTTGCTGCTGCAGACTCGTGTGAAATTCCACTGTCCAGGGTTTTCGTCCTGAATTTCCACGGGGAGGAGATACCAGCCGGACGGCAATCATGGGAGCTGCTACTGTCGTGCGGGGAACGCGACTGGGAACGAGTCGAGAACCCCGACGACACTCCCGCAGCATATGTCTCGACCAGTGGGACTTCAGGACTCCCCAAGGCGGCCGTGATTCCTCACTCGTACTTTGTTTCGCAAGCTGAGTTCCAATTGAAGACTTCGGCTGTTCGGTACAAGATTTCCACTCTCATCTCCATCCCACCGTTTCACGTCTTCACAATCCCAGTTCAGCATGCCCTGCCCTTGCGGAAAGGCACTGCGGCATACATCATGCCGCGATTTGAAACTGGACGGTTTCTTGACGTGGTAGAGAAGTTCCGAATTTCCCATATCATCGTTGTGCCTCCAATGTTGATGACGTTGGCACATACTTCGGAGAGCTCGCAGCTGAGGTCGATCAGAAGGATCTACGTTGGAGGCTCTTGCGCAACAGATGGAATGCAGCAGCAGTTATATGCTAAGCTGCCTTCACTTGCGAGGATCGAACAAGTATATGGAATGACCGAGGTGGGTTGGGCGACAACGTGGCATGACCGCCAACAAGAATGTACGGGGAGCGTCGGCCGCCCTCTTCCTGGGACAGAATTACGGTAAGTCTCTTTCATCCCTCTTGCAAGTGATTGGATGAATGCTAATGCAGTCATCTATTGCAGGCTGGTTGACAGGGACGGTGAAGTTATCACCGAAGAAGGCGTCAATGGCGAAATCCATATCCACTGCCCACACCCCATGATGGGGTATCTGAACAATCCGGCAGCGACAGCAGAGTCCTTTTCGCCGGATGGCTGGGTTCGAACAGGAGATGTGGGCTATATTCGAGATGGGAAATGGTACGTCGTGGATCGAACGAAGGACCTGATCAAGGTCCGAGGTTGGCAAGTCAGCCCAGTAGAGATTGAAGCCGTGTTGTTGGAGCACCATCTGGTCACAGATGCTGCTGTCATTGGTGCTGCCGCTCAAGACGGTACCGGCGAAGTCCCAATCGCCTTCGTGGTGAAGGCAGATGACAGCCTACAAGAAGACGACATCAAGAACTTTCTGAGCAAGCGGCTCGCCCGATACAAAGGTGTTGATGAGGTGGTATTCGTCGACGCCATCCCCAGAAATCCCACAGGGAAAATCTTGCGGCGGGTTCTTCGCGATGCTCGAAGGGCACCTCCTTTAACCACCGACCAAGCTGCAGCCTCAGCCTACTCCAGCGCCATCAAGGACTTGGAGAAGTATCAGCAGGAGCGCGACCGCGAGGCCCAGCTCGATGGCCGGAGCAGCCCATCGCCTGTCAGCTCTCCTCGGTCGGTTCGTACGGCCAGCTTGACCGACGCATCAACCGTCTCGCAAGAAGATCCTCCAACTCCGCCATCAGAGCCCATATTTGTGCCCATGAGGAGGAACAAGCGTGCGGGAGATCCGCTCGCCCCAGTTACAGTGAAGAGAAGGAGTGCGCGGGTGGCCGCAATCCGGATACGAGGGTAATAATGACGCTGACTCGGCGGTGTGCTTATATACCCCGGTTGTTGGAAGTGAAGCTGAAATCGGGACCGGAATCGTTGGTGGGGTAGTTTTGCAACCCAACGCACAGCATAGCGGGGTGTTGGCGCGGCTGCCTTTAAGTGTTTCTATAGCGAAAGCATGGGTGGCCCTACCGCGCAGTAATTTCTCTCCTAAAGCTAATATCCACGAGTTACGATGTTCTCTTTGCGAGGTTTTGGAGTTTTGTTGGGTGGTTACGGTTTCGGAGGTAGTTGGTTACTGTACCTTAAATAATGCGAAACATGAAAGTCCCATGACCAGTTTCTCTCACCGATGTTGCCGAATAACCCCCTTGTCAACTGTGACAGGAGATAAACCACGAATCTTTTTGCTTACCTTCCCCTATCGAACAAGATCAAAAGCTAACAGACAAAATGAAAGATACCATTACAGCGGCGTCTAGTTTATCCAACTGCAGAGATGTTGGTGAACACGTCAGCGTCAAAGTCCCCCATGCTCACTTAGAAAAGGAGAAGAGAGATGGTCTTATTATCTGGCTGTATCCTCATATATCTATCGTTCTGCAGAGAGGGGGCTCATCTACGGTCAGAATGTCTCATATCTCTAAGCCATTTGTCGTGTTCTATGCCAAATAGTCGCGTGTCATGCTGCTATATATCGTGCTTCCTTCTTACAAAAGATTCTTCTTCCGGAGATGGCTCGCCCTTCTTGCGAGCAGCGAGCGTGCAAATCGTCATCTGGAAGATCTCGCCCCTCCTGCCCATCTCGAGAGCCTTCTCCCGGTACGCCTCCGTCGTCCGCTTGATGTCTTCCTTTCCCACGCCCTTCCGCAACATCATCATCTCGAGGATGATCGGCACCGTCAGCGAATGCCAGATCGTTAACAGCGGCCGAATCGCGGGATTGTGGAATGGCGCGTCCGCGAAATCCGTAAAGCATACGTTGTCTACAGGTAGGCTCTTCAAATAGTGCTGAACGAGGCCGAGAATATGGACGGCCCAGCCCTGCTCGAATTGAAAGGCGAATATCTCTCTGCCTACCTCTAAGGAGGACAGCTCATCAGGCCTATCTGGGTACATACTCTCTGAGCCATGGCGGTAGTTGTAATCCGTCCATTGGAGGTATCCACCAGGTCCTGCAGCCGTTAGGAACTAGAAAGGTCTTGCGCATCTCTGCGCCCAGGAAGGATGAAAATGTCTCACTGATAAGTTTGAGGAGATTTTCTACCACACCTTGGATCTGTTCGATTGCTAGAGCAAAGACGGCAAATCGGATATGCACCAGATCGAAACTGTTGTGGTATTCTTCTGGGAATTCCTTGGTCATATCCCACACGACAAATTTAGTTCCTGGCAGAGGATTTTTGGGAAATTGAGCCGGGGAGATATCGAAGCCGATAATCTCAGGGGGGGACGTATTTCCAGCTGCCGTGAGCTCTGCTATAACGTCGCCCATAAAGATACTGGGGTTCAGTCAGCGAGCTCAGTTTTAGGCTTTAAAAAATCGTACCCGGTACCAGTGGCAATATCTGCTATTCTAGAGATATCCTGCTTCGGGATCGCGGGATCCAAGATATGACCTCCCCGGACGGCATTGGCAGTGGAATTTTGTTGGTTTAACCTGCTTCGTATTGATATATATGACAGCCCATGCAGACAAAGTACAAACCTGTATTTTTCTGCTTCATCTCTCTTGCTCAGCAAGTATAGTTCTTGCTTTGGCGCTTCCATTTTCAATAAGCTAGTAAAGGTGAGCAGGCAGTTACAGCCGACGGATTGCCTTGGTTCACAGGGAGAGTTAAATGTTGAAGCGAAATGGAAGAGAAGAGATTGCAAGCTTAGATAGAAATAAATATTGAGAATTGGACAGTTCTAACTCTTAAGATATAGTGAGAGTCACGTGGCACGAATCGCCTTGCCCTCAGACGTATTCAGCAGTGCCTGAGACAACCTCAGGGCGAGTTGCAAGAAGTCGCGAGACCACATTGTCGTTCACGATAGGTAAAGCCATCGTGCAAGGTTGGTATCACAGCTGAACTAACTGCGAGAGCTGAGACAGGATTTTCAGTTCTGTGCAGATACATGCGGTCGACCTTTTCTGGATCAGCGCGCCACCACTGGAAGAGGCTGGCTGAATGTGGATGACCTAGCGATCGCCACTTGCATCCTAATTCCGTCGTAGCTCTGGTTGTCCCAATATGTAAAGTGGTACTGTGTAATCGGCTTTTGCCCCGCATCAAACTCTATGTTGGGATGGCCCCTGGACTCGCTCTTGTTTTCTGTTTAGAGAGTCTTTCGTGTCTCTTCGCAACAGCTTATTTTGGGACCACCATATACTTGACGTTTTAGTGACTAAGAGCAGCATAAATCCAAGAAAATTGGACTATAACAGCACCGAAAGGTTAGCCACTGTGGCCTAAGAAAAAAGACCTTGTATCAAGAATATCTCCCTGAACAGTATACCACTAGGTCACTCTGCAACTCCTCGGCGACTACCGACACCAAGCGGCAAAGCCAGCTGGCTAATTTACTGATGTGAAATAGAAAATAGGACAATGGCTAAAGGACACCTTCTTTCACGACAATTTCAGCAGAGAACGAAAGAGTCATTGTGTTACAGGGTTTTGCTTGGGTACGAGCTATTTTCCAGAAAGGCGGGGGCGGTTCGGGAAATTTCTTGGCTAAATCGTAACTACCGAAATAGTGAAAAGTTCAGTTATGATTGTTGGTCGATTGGTGTAGCGGTTATCACGTCTGCTTTACAAAGAGGTCCTTCCAAAATCTCTTCCTAACGCAGCAGGTCCCCGGTTCGATCCCGGGATCGATCATTTTTTTAATTTTCGCTTTTGCCCTTTGCATGCTTGTCTCCTGAGCGTCGTCTCTTTCCCTTTGTTTTTGTTTTCCAAACTCTTCTGTGGCGTATCCGAGCTTCTCGACCCGAGACTGTGTCCATCATCTTCACACGCAGAAACATCCTCTCGCACAACACATGCTACGACTTAGATATAAGGGCAGGAGTACTATTGAGCCTGCAAAAGGTCTCAGCTGGGAAACAGCTGCAAGCAGAACCCCTACATTACATCCTCAGCGGAAGTCTAGCCAGATTTGTGTCCAAGTCGGGAAGGTAGACAACGTTCATAACTACACCTTTCAGCCCTATAAAGTTTCTCGAATTAACTACGAGCTATCCTACCAGCGCATGATGTGGGAAGACGAATAGTCTCGATCTAGTGGTAATTGTATCAAACCTCTCTGCCCTGGTAACTTTCTCTAGCATCATTGTGCAAGTTATATATCGTACTGTAATGCTACGATGCTCGTACATTTATAACACAGCTGCCTGCCTAGTACATTCTATCCTTTCCCTCACTCTTCGTTGATATTTATGGACTAACCACTGGTCCCTTATATCCATGGCTGTGGTGGATGAATGATAAAATAATTCCTAACTGGGTGTCTAATCAATTCCTCTTTTACGTCTCTGCTCATTGAGAAGCCTAGGATAGAACTGTCGAACCAATAGTATAAGTACGAGCCAAATGAGCGCTATGAGGTTCATTGTTGCGACTGTTACCAGTGTTGCAATGGCGACAATGGACTGTATATGTCAGTAGCGCTCCATTCTATATACACGAGTGAGAGACTCACCATCCCCCCTGGCGCAATTTGCGCATTTACACGATCAATAATGCGTTTCGAGTTCGTCTCGGTGACTGGTTCCTTATGATACTGCTCAAAAGGGTTGTCCATTTTGGGCTTCGTAATCCCACAACAGGACGGACTGCTTAAAGCAAAGCAACAGAACGCTGGGAGTATGTACGCTTTGTATATCTACGATTTTTAGTTATGCAGCTATCGTAATATATATGACTCGTGCTTAACTTATTACACACATCATAGCTGGAACGCCAGAACATTAATGCTTATGGCTCCTGGCGGCCCCACCACTTACCGCACTTAACAGTCACCAAGTGATCAACCTTGGCAGCAGGAAGATCATCGAGTCACTGTACAGGTTGGTTCAATGCCAAAGTAATTTCAATAACAATATTCTCACTATGGAGTATATGGGAATGAGCCAACTTTTCATAATCCTTTGGAGCCAACACCTTCCAGCATCAACAAATTTATAAATAGCTCTCCGAACCCGTCAATAGCTACACCAGAAGACCAAAGAATTTCTTCTCATGTCTCGACTTCTCTTCCACAAAGTCCTAATGTTAGTATTCATTCGTCGTATCAAGATTGTGTTCGAGGATGCGCCATGTTATTCGCGCTTTGCCTGTCCTTCGTCGCCGAGCAAGCCGATAATAGGGTAGTGGATGGACCTGATGAGGATAGTAAGAAGAAAGAGTCATCATCCATGAAATTTTGAGGGAGGTCATCTTATATTGATTAGCATTGTGCTTTAAATATGCCAAGGTTTGGTAAGGACAAGGAGAGATGCTGCTTAACTTGAATATGATTGCGTCCACAGTTGAAAGGGCTGGGCTTGGAAGGCTGCGCATGGTGCGAATAGTTTCGGAGATTGGCTCCATCCTTCTTTGGTTTGGTTGTTTGGCTGGTCTTTGAGCCGACGTGGAAGTTAAGATCTTTTTTTACTAAGGTTTGATGACGGTTTAGGTAGTCTTCGAGGGCAAAAATGAGCTGGGTCTCTAATGAAGTTCAACTAATTATTCGGGAGATTTTATGGAGGGAATATTTTAGGAAGAAGGCAAGAAAAAGAGACTGCTATATAGATCTGAAAGGGACTAAACTTAGACAGATTCCTTATTTCGTTGCTCTTGTTCCGTATTGCAAGAGTTTATTCATTCCAAACTGGACTGGGCCAAACGAGGCGTTCCAAACTTTTAATCGTTAAGGATACTTAAGACCTTAGCATATTCATCCCTCCTTAGAACTGCTGAAATCCAAATTGCTCTGCACTAAATTACACCACTGAACTGAAACTTCTCATAGGGCGTTTAAACTTTTCATGGCCCAAACCCCTCCACCAGGGCCTATACATGCAAATACATAAGCTTGATCGCGCCATCTGTTGGTATCTTGACTGAATAAGTTGAACAAACATATGGCAATGATGATTACAAAGATATACTCGAGGTCTTTGTCTGAACGGTGCCAGAAGCGCGACGACGAAGCGATATGGCAATTACCAATTCAAAGGAAGCATTCTCCATATGTAAAATTTCGTCCCTGAGGCATAGCCTCGGGTTTATTTATTGGAATTTGGGTGCCATCACTTGGATTATTTTGTCGGAGCTCTATATTCAATCTCGGCGCATTGGTTCGGGTTGTTTAATAGTAGGCAGACGTAACAGGATAGTGATGGAGGGCAATATTCAAGCAATTAAAAGTATTAGAAGATAGAGAGGCTGAATAGAAGCGAAATTCTACACAGCTTGATGGCGTCCGGTTTGAATAAAAATTGGGACGGTCTTGGAGCGGCTGTTTTGACTTCATGAGTTCGAAACCTGACACCAAGATTTTAATCCCTCTATAATGTGCTTGCCAAATCAAATAAAAGCAACGCTTGAGTACATATCCAGCCCGAATCATTGCTTGCTCGCCCTCTGCAATCCAAAGAATCGCCGGTAGTTAAGAGCAACATTATCGCTAGAAGATGCCTGCGCCCTGTTGCCTCTGGCCAGAAATTTCTGTGTTCAGCGCTCGTTAACAGGCTTAGCCGCTAAGAAGTCCAAGAGTCTGTGGCTCAGCCTTGATGACACGGAGACTGTGTGCTTATTAGCAGAGTCAATATCTCTCGGGAATGAGACTTACGTGTTGGTATTGCCCATGCCCCCCTTCCATCCTTGGACAACAACAACAGTCTCGCCCTGAGCAAGGACGTTGAGCTTCATAGCCTCACCAATACCCCACTTAATTCTCCTGTCCACGTCTTCCTGCCAATTCACCTTGGTGAAATCTGGCTTGCCTTCGGGGAAGTGGAAGGGGTAGACTCCGCGATATAAGTGCGCGTATCGAGAAGCTGTAGGGTTCCGTGTCACCATAAAGATAGGGCAGACGGGTCTATACTTGGAGAGCAGGCGAGCACTGACTCCGCTGGTAGAGAGGACGATGATGGCACCAGCATTCATGTCTAAACTGGCACGGACAGCCGCCATAGCGCATGACTCGACGATGCTAGTCGGCCGTTGAGTAAGGTTGGTAAGCTCCTCGAAGTGGGAAACGTAGGCAATAGTATTCTCTGCCTTCAAGCATGTCTCATGCATCTCTCTGACAGCTTCCTCGGGATAGTTACCTTTGGCAGTCTCGCCAGAAAGCATAACACAGTCTGCTCCATCAGTAACAGCGTTACCAACGTCACTGATTTCAGCACGAGTTGGGCGCGGGTTGTAGATCATGGACTCGAGCATCTGTGTAGCACAGATAACGGGCTTGCCAGCGATGTTGCACATAGCAATCATCTTTTTCTGGGCAGCAAAGACCTCAGCAGCAGGAATCTCAATTCCCAAATCACCACGAGCAACCATCACACCATCAGTCTCCTCTAGAATCTCAGAAAAGTTGTTGAGGCCCTGTCTGTTCTCAATCTTAGCGATAATCTGGATGCCTTTGCCATCCTCTCCAAGAACCTCACGGATGGACTTGATATCCTCCCCGCGGCGGATAAATGAAGCAAAGATCATGTCCACATTATTCTTCACGCCAAAACGTAGATCAGCCTTGTCCTTCTCGGAGAGGGCAGGGAGGTCGACATCGGTGTTCGGGAGATTGACGCCTTTCTTGGAGGAGATCTTGCCGTTGTTGCGAGCTCGGGCGCGGATGTTCTTGTCGTCGACGATCTCGAGGACGTCGAAAGCGAGAACTCCGTCATCAACGTAAATGATCCGACCAGGCTCGATGACCTTGGTAATATTCTTGTAGTCGACGTACCTATATTAAAGTCAGCTTTATGAAACAGGCAATCGCAGGTGTGCGTACATGTTCTTGTCATCGCAACTTGTAATATACTTCTCATCCGTGGTGATATTGATCTCGGTGCCGGCCGAGATTGGGATGTCTGCATCGCCAACAGTATTGCCAGTTCGGATTTCAGGGCCTTTAGTATCAAGGGCAATGGCAATCGGACGGCCGCGATGGACCTTCTCAGCCTCGCGAGCATTGTCAATCACAGATTGGTGGTATTCGTAGGAGCCGTGGGAGAAGTTCATGCGAACAACATTGAGACCGGCCTTGCGGAGCTTGTTAATGGCCACAACCGAGTTGGTCTTCGGCCCAATGGTGCAGATGATAGAGGTACGACGATAGTTCTTGGTTGGCTTGAATTCGGTGTTGAGCTGGGACAGCCACGCAATCTTAGTGGAGCCGGAGCTGAGGTGGTCAAGAGCTGTTGCCATTTTAAATCAAAGTAGAGGGATAAGGCCCGACGGTTTTCGGATAGATTCGAGGTGCGAGAAAGAGTGACAGACGAGAATTTTGATCTCTGTCGAGGGTCTCTCTTAAGAGAAAAGTCAGCGGAGGCGTTATCGTGGTGGGGTGTTGAGGAGCTAGGTGGGAAGGGAAAACGGCCTTGACTCTACCCAATTTTGAGGCCCAAATTAAAAAGTATGCAATGGAAGGTGCATAGGACTATCGCATTGATGAATTCGCAAGTAAAACTCACCAGATAACAAGCGCTTCTTGGCACGGCGATACTTGGAGCAGAGTTGTCTTGGAGTTGCTCTTACAAAAAGAAAAGCGAAAATCCCGCCTAAAACGTGCAGCGACGCGCCTGACTGACTGGAGGCTCGGGCAATTGCAAAGATGCTGGTCGTAACACCCAGGGATGGAATAAAACAGGCAGAGGTGCAGTGCGTCCGTGGGA